GAGTGATCCTGGGGAGACAGCCCGGTGAGCAGGCAGGTATGGTACACACAGGATGCTGGGAGCTCAGTCCACCATCTGGAGATCAAGAGCAGTGCAGAGGCCAGAATGATAAAGAGGTAGTTGGCTTATGATTTCTTCAAAATGGTCACAACATAAAGCCATCAATAAAGGGTTTTGTGCCAGGCGTGATTGGGCTCACCTGTCATCTCAGTGGCTCAGGAGGATGAGGCAGGAGAATCATAAATTCAAACCTGCCTCAGCAATTTATCGAGGACCTAGGCAACTCAGCGATACCCCATCTCTAAATAAAATATTAAAAAGGGCTGGGGATGTGGCTCAGTGGTTAAGTGGTTCAGTGGCTGAATCTCTGGTACTAAAAATAAAAGTAAATAATAACGTAAAATAAAAGTAAAACCGTGTTAGTCATGGTGCTGTGTGTCTATAGATCCAACTACTCAGAAGGCAGAGGCAGGAGGATCACTTGAGCCCAGGAGTTTGGGGCCAACCTAGGTAACATATCAAACCCTATCTCAATACAATAAAAAAGTAAAGAACAGCTGGGCGAAGTGGCACATGCCCGTAATCCCAGCAGCTCAGGAGGCTGAGGCAGGAGGATCACAAGTTCAAAGCCAGCCCCAGCAACTTGGCAAGACCTTAAGTAACTCAGCAAAAAACCCTGTCTCAAAATAAAAAAGGGCTGCGGATGTGGCTCAGTTATTAAGCACCTCTAGGTTCAATCCCTGGTACCAAAATACATAAGTAAAATTAAAAAACTCCAAACAAACAAATAAAAAAATATTTATTGGGCTGGGGATGTGGCTCAAGCAGTAGCGGGCTCGCCTGGCATGCGTGCGGCCCGGGTTCGATCCTCAGCACCGCATACAAACAAAGATGTCGTGTCCGCTGAAATCTAAATAAATAAATAAATAAATATTTAAAAAACCATTTATTGAGGGCATATATTTTTCTTCTTGTGTAAGGCTCCCATATTACTCATCCTCTTATTTAAGATGTTGATGTTTTGCTGGTCATTGATTTTTGGTGCTAATTATAATGTTGTTAAGATACTAGATTAAAATATGATCTTTCCAAGATCATTGTACTGTCATGTGTAACTAATTAAAAAAATACAAAAAAATATGATCTTTCAGGGTTGGGATGTAGCTCAGTGATAGAGCACAAGCTTAGTATGTGTGAGGCCCTGGGTCCCATCCCCAGGAAAGAAAGGAAGGAAGGGAGGGAGGAAGGATTTCCCCTGATTATCATGTATTTTGGCATTTTTTAAAAGTGGGGGGCACTTGGGTTGAACCGAGAGCCTTGCAACTGCTAGGCAAGTGCTGTACCACTGAGCTGCACCCCCAGCCCTCTTGGCACCTTCTTGAACTTTGCACCCAAGCAATTGCCTCTCCTGCCTCCCTAATTTTTTCCCAGGGTGATGTGGCTACTCTTACTTAAGTGGCTTTAAAAGGATCACATCTAGTGTGAAGGCTGTGTCATGGAGAAGGACACTCAGGTTTGAGTAACAGGTCTACATTGACCCCTCTAGCTTGTGCTACCGCTTGAGAGCTGCTCTCAAGTCCTTTTAGGATTATTTTGTGGCAAAGGGAATAGACACATAGTAATTCTGGCTCCAAAGATGAGGATGATGACCACAGAGTCATTTGTGGCTTCAGAGATGAGGATAATGAGTACAGAGAGAAGTTCCCAGGAGGCTGAGAGCAGCTCAGTTTAAGGGGAAAAGACAATGAGCCATTTGCAAAATGACATGCAGTTTCTTCCCTGGGAGCAGTTTAGGGAGAGGCCGAGACTCTCCCAGGAGGGCCTGGGAATTTGGCGTCTGAAGCCTGCAGTTTCTCCTCAAGGGCTTTGCAATCTATATATTGAGGCAAATTAAAATTATTTTCAATGCTTTTGAGATTTTTAGAATATCTTTAAGATCACACGTTAAACCTTCAGGGGCAGGGAAACAAGGCTGAGAATCAACACTCCAGTCTCCGCCTCTTATTCCAGGCTCCACAACCAGAATTTTGGATCCAGGAATCCAGCAAAGACAAAGCTACTTCTGTTGCCTTCCAATTAGAAGTCTGCCCTGTTAGGACACCGTCCCAGGCCTTGCTAACTCAATGCTCATTCACATACTCCTGGCAGGAGGGGGCATTCCTGGCCAGTGCCAAGGTCCCTCTCTGGGTCCCATCCTCTTGGTGTCTTGAGCTCACTGGACACTGCAGCTTTTGCTTCTGCTGCCAGGTCCATGTCCTGCTCTCCAGGCAGAGCTTATATCTTGGCAGAGCTGTTTCACTTTCCTTGCCTTCCTCTCCTCGTCCTGTTTCTTCTTCTGTGCTGGGCCTCAAACCCAATACCTTGTGCATGCTACCTCTGAGCTATGCCCCAGCCAGGCATATGGGTTGAATTTATTCATTGGAAGAGTGGATGTACTCTGTCCCATACACTGCAAAGCACAGTTTCTTAATCTGACCAGGACCCCATGGTCAGCCAATCAGAGGTCCAGAGACCTGAAATGGATATCAGTGGAGCATGTCCACCCATTTTCTGTGGTGAAGGTTTGTATTTGAAATCTCTGAAGGGGCCTGTGGCCCCTCAAAGTTAAGAATCATGGCTCCAGAGGGTGCTCTGAGTCATTGTGTCTTTGCTCATCTGTGTCACTGGAAGAAGTGAAGTTAACATTTCTTTTTTTCTTCTTTCTTGCTGGGGATTGAACCCAGGGCCTTGTACATGCAAGGCAAGCACTCTACCAACTGAGCTGTAGCCCCAGCCCTGAAGTTAACATTTCTATAAATTCTGTAAGATGCCCCTGTATTTTCTGACCTAAGACCGTCATAGCTGTCCATGTTAAGCTCAAGAACTCTGGAAACTGAACTGCCCAGTTCTCAGCCCTTGCAGAAGGGACCCCTTCATTTTCTCCTATCTCCTCCCAGCTTCTCAGGCAAAGTCCTGGAAAGAGGAAGTAAGAGGGCTCTCCTGTGGTTATCCTGACTGCCAGCTCTTTCCTTTGAAGATCCTCCTAGGCAGAGCCACACAGGGCTTGTCTGTACCTGTGTTGAGTGTAGGTACTCACAGCGGACCAGGATACTGCAGGAGACTACAGGATACATACACATAGGGAACCAGGGAATGTCAAAGCCAGAGGAATATGGCCCTCTCCTTTGCCCTCCTGGACTCTGACATTGTATTTTTCAGGAGAAGTGAGAAATCTAGCTCAGCATCTCATGGAAGGAGGTGGGGAAGGAGATCTGCTCCTTAGCAGGCAGCCTTCCCTCCTGCCCATTTAATTTAGAGCAATGCCTGGGGCCAGAATCTGTGATAAACATGTTAAGAGAGGACAGTGTAGAAAGGAAAGGAGTCCCACACATCCACAGCCAAGTGAGAGTTGACAAAGGCACTGAGGACTCACGTTGGAGGCAGGCGGGACAGTCTTTTCAATACATGGTGCTGGGAAAGCTGGCTACCCATGTGCTGAAGAATGAAGACAGATCCTAAGCTCTCACCAGTTCCAAACGTCAGCTCAAAACAGATTTAAGACTTACATGTAAGGTATGGGGTTGTAGCTCAGTGTAGAGCATTTGCCTAGCATGCGTGAGGCTCTGGGTTTGATTCTCAGTACCACATATAAAAAAATAAATAAAGGTCCATCAACAACTAATAAAAACATTAAACAAGGACATGTAAGACCTGAGACTGAAATTACCAGGGGAGAAAAAAACCCCAAAACATATAACAAACAAACAAAACCACAGGGGAAATGCTTCAGGACATTCAAATGGGCCAAGATTTTTTTTTTTTTTTTAACTAGAGGTCATTATGTGAAATGAGCACAGAAAGACAAATACTTAATGATTTCACTTACATGTGGAATGGAAAAAAAAAAATCAAACACACATACGTGAGAATGGAAGTGGTTACCAGAGGCTGGCCAGAGTGGCAGGGAGGGAAGGATGGGGAAAAGTTGATCAGTCACAGTTAGACAGAAGTAAGAAGTTCTGGTGTGACTACATTTAACAGTCATGCACTGTACATTTCAAACATCTAAGAAAAAGGACTTTGAATGTTTTCACCACAAAGAAATGATAAATGTCACCATGCACAGAACTCAAAGTGGATCAAGGACCTAGGAATTAGACCAGAGACTCTGTGCCTAATAGAAGAAAAAGTAGGCCCAAATCGCCATCATGTTGGATTAGGTCCCAAATTCCTTAACAAGATTCCTAAAGCGCAAAAAATAAAATCAAGAATCAATAAATGGGATGGATTCAAACTGAAAAGCTTCTTCTCAGGAAAAGAAACAATCAGTGAGGTGAAGAGATAACCTACAGAATGGGAGCAAATTTTTACCATACACACATCAGCGCACTAATTTCCAGGATATATAAAGAACTCAAAAAACTTAACACCAAAATAATAATAATATTAATAATAATAATAATAACAACATCAACCCAATCAATAGATGGGCTAAGGAACTGAACAGACACTTCTTAGAAGAAGATAAATAATCGAACAACAAATATATGAAAAAATGTTCAACATCTCTACCAATTAGAGAAATGCAAATCAAAACTACTCTAAGGGCTGGGATTGTGACTCAGTGGTACTCGCCAGGCACGCATGAGGAGCTGGGTTTGATCCTCAGCACCACATAAAAAATGAATGAATAAAGGTATTGTGTCCATCTACAACTAAAAAAAAATATTAAGAAAAAACTACTCTGTGGAGAGCCATTCTCACACGTGACTGGGCGACTCCCGGTTTGGGTCTGAGGCGCTCTGGCTAATCTGTGTGGGAGCTTTCCCGGCCCTCTCCTGATGAGAGAACCCGTCCGTGTGGGGGTGTGACTGACCACTGACCCCGGGGGCCAATCACTGACCCTGAGCTTGGAGTGCGGCCCCCCTCAACCTTCATTGGATGGAATTCTCCCCTGAATTTCTTGTTCCCCAATAAAAGGCTACTCCCCGCGTGCTCGCTCGCTCTCTCTCTCCTGTTAGCCCTGAGTAATCCTTGCTGCCCTACGGGTGGTTCGAGGTTGGAGCCAGAGAGGGGAGCCGTCTCGGACCTGGTCATAGAAAAAGGTAACTGAGTCTGTGTGTTTTATTTCGATCTCGCTAGTTAACTTTTATGCCAAGAACCTCATTAATGAAACCAATGCGCTGGCCGCATGGTGGACTACTCTTTTAAGATTTCATCTCACTCCAATCAGAATGCAGTTGTAAGAATGCAAGCAACAATAAGTGTTGGCAAGGATGTGGGGAAAAAGGCACACTCTTACGTTGCTGGCGGGACTGCAGGTTGGTGCAAACAATCTGGAAAGCAGTATGGAGATTCCTTAGAAAACTTGGAATGGAACCACCATTTGACGCCGCTAACCCACTCCTGGGTCTATACTCAAAGGACTTAAAAACAGCATACTTCAGTGATGCCGCCACATCAAGTTTGTAGCAGCACAATTCACATTAGCTAAACTGTGGAACCAACCTAGATACCCTTCAGTAGATGAATGGATAAAGAACTGTGGTATATATACACAGTGGAGTATTATTCAACATTAAAAGGGAATACAATTATGGCACTTGCAGGTTATTGGATGGAGTTGGAGAATATCATGCTAAGTGAAGCCAATCCCCAAAACCAAGGGGAGAATGTTTTCTCTGATAAGTGGATGCTGTTCCATAATGGGGTGGGATGTGGGAAAAATGGAGGAACTGTGATTGGGAAAAGGGGAGGGAGGGAAGGGGAGGGGGCATGGGGGCTGGAAAGATGATGGAATGAGATGGACATCATTACCCCAGGTACACGTATGAAGACATGAATGGTGTATAACCATTGGTGTCTACTTTGTGTATAACCAGAGAAATGAAAAATTGTGTTCCATTTGTGTACTATGAATTGAAATGCATTCTGCTGTCAATTAGAACAAATAAATAAATAAATTTAAAAAAAGAAATGATAAATGGGGGCTGGGAGTGTGATACAGTGGTAGAACATGTGTTTAGTGTGTGCAAAGCCCTGGGTTCCATCCCAACACCCCCTGCCACCCACCAAGATGAATGTTTGTGGAGATACATATGTTTGACCCATATTTAAACACTATCTGATCCATACAAATACTGAAGCATCACATTGCCCCACAACTATGTATAATTTGATGTTTAAGTATACATTTAATTTACATATTAAAAGGGGGGCTGGGGAAATGTCTCAGTGGCAGAGCCCTAGCACCACCACCCCCACCAACATAAAGAAGAAAGAAAAAACAGGGACTAAGACATCAAAGTCTACCATATTGGACATTTTGACGTTTTATAGAGGATGTTAAAGAAAAAACGATTCATGCCACACCTTAGAGAAGAGTAAGGCAGACTTTATGCAAGGGGTTTGCCACAGGGGGGTCTCGCAGGAAGTGAGAGATGAGACTCAACTTGGAACATAGCAAGGGAAAGTGGAGATTGTTGGCCAAAGAACAGGATGGAGGTCAGTGGGTGGGAAATCACTAGGGGGAAACATGGAGGAAGGGGGGGATTAGCTAAACAGACTCAACAGGATTCCTGCTAAAGGCAGTTGAGAGTGTTTGGACCAAAGCTGGGGCTCCCTACTGAACTGATTCAGCAGGATTGTTGCCCAAACTGGACAGATCAGAACCTGTGGACTAAGTATAGAGCCCAAGACGGGAAGGGGGACTAGTCAGAGGACTGAGAGAAGCCGGAGTCAAGTTTGGTCAAAGGAGAGCATCTTTGTCAAGGTACATGCCTGTTTTGAGTTTGGATTCTCTCCCCAGGGGAGAATGTACACAGTACATAGCAGAGGGGTTTCAGGGCACTGCCGGGCAAGTCAGTCGCAGTCTCTGCCTTCAGGGTGCTTGGTTGGCTGAGCAGACAGAAGTAGGTAGAGCCACAGTGCAAAGTTAAGTGGTGAGGGATCTAATCATAATCATTGTTATTATTATTATTACTGTCATTATTAGTAAAAGGATTGAACCCAGGAGTGCTTAACCACTGAGCCATATCCCAGCCCTTTTTATTTTATATTTTTTATTTTGAGTCAGGGTCTTGCTAAGTTGCTCAGGGCCTTGCTAAGTTGCTGAGGCTGACCTCCAACTTGTGATCCTACTGCTTCTGCCTCCTGAGCTGCTGGGATTACAGGATGCTCCACAGTGTGGGGCTGAAGAATTATTTTTGATCTACTTGAGAATAGCTCCAACCCAGCCACCCCCACAGGCTGGCATGCTGTCTCTCTCTCTCTCTCTCTCTCTCTCTCTCTCTCTCTCTCTCTCACACACACACACACACACACACACACACACCTCCTTTATTTGGCTAAAAGACTGGGAAACAACCAGGGAGGACTGTCTCTTACTAACACAGGCAAAAAGCCATCATTGTACCTAAGCAGACATTTTTTAAAAAACATTTTTTTAGTTGTCAATGGACCTTTATTCAATTTGTTTGTTTATATGTGGTGCTGAGAATCGAACCCAGTGCCTCACACATGCTAGGCAGTGCTCTACCACTGAGCCACAACCCCAGCCCCCTAAGCAGACATTGTCACAAAATTATCACATCTCCTATCTGTTCCCTGAGGGTCCATTTATCATTCCTAAGAATAATTTATTTTTCCACAAGTGCTCTTCTCCTCCGACTTAGTCTGTTTCCTGTTACTATAAAGAAACACCACAGACTGGGTCATTTAAAAAGAATAGAGGTCTATTTGGCTCCCAGCTCTGGAGGCTGGAAGTCCAAGAACGTGGCACTGGCGGTACCTTGGTTCAGGCCTTCTTGCTGCATCATAACGTGGTGAAGGTGTCACATGGTGAAGCAGCAGCTGCTAGCTCAGATCTCTCTTCCTCTTGTAAAGCCACTGATGTCCTCACAGGGCCCTGCACTCCTGACCTCTTCTAACACTAATGACCTCCCAAAGGCGCCACCTCGGAATACCATTAACGTGAATGTGGGGAGTGAGTTTCCCACACGTGAACTTTGGGGGAACACGCTCAACCCTCAAAGCACTTCCCCTTCCCCTATCAGGATGTTATTTATGCCTCAAATTCTGACTGCCTCCTTGAGTCACATTTTTCTGTTAACTCCTGTACCTACATGATTAAAAATCCGTCTTTCTTCTTTTCTCAGCTTATTCGCGTACCCTTAGCACAGAGGGTAATTGGGTAGGGGAAAATTTTTCCTCTTCAATGGTGTCATAACTGGGATAGCAACACCTCTGGGTTCTGATTTGTGTTGAAATGTGATTCAAACTACATACCCTAAAGTTGCCTTGCTGTCGCTCTGATGGTCAAGGTTCATTTGTTCACCGAACAAATATTTTTGAGGGCCTACTACATGCCAGGCACTGTTTAAGGAACTGGGAACAGAGGAGAGAACTAGACCAAGTCTTGCCGTGGGGGCTCACACTCTGGCTCAGGAGACAGACAGGCAGTGCGTGGATAGACTGTGAGTTAGAAGCAGGACTGCATGAACCAAGGGAGTGCTGCGGGTCTCGTATCAACAGAATATGATCCCTATCAAATGATTCTCAATCTAAAATGTCAATGGTTTATATTTTTAGAGAGTCTCCCAAGTAATCTTTTTTTAAAAAATATCTATCTTTATTTTTTTTTATATGGTGCTGAGAATCTAACCCAGTGCTTCATACATCCTAGGCGAGTGCTCTACTGCTGAGACCAACCCCAGCCCCCCAAGTAATCTTTTTTAATAGGACAGAAAAGAAGCAGTTGAGTTTTTTTTACAACTTACTTTTAAAATTATAAAAGTAGGGTGGGGAATGCAGCTCAATGGTGGTGTGAGAGAAGGCCTGGGTTCCATCTCCTGAACTGCAAAACAATAAGAACAAAACAGCGGTCAGCCGGCAGTCCTGGTAACTTTGGAGGCTAAGGCCAGGAATTCAGGGCTAGCCTGGGCAAAGGATGGAGACCCTATGTCACCAAAAAAGAGGGCTGGGATTACTGGAGTGCACCACCACACCCAACTGTCTCATCTTAAAAAAGAAAAAACAAGCAAACAAAGAAAAGTTTTTTTGAGATATAATTCAATGTGCAATTCACCTGTTTAAAGCGTCTATTCAACATTATTGGTGTATTCACGGGCCATACAACCCGATCCACACCTGCGGTCAGTGCCTTTGTCCTCTCTAAAGAAATCCCTGCCTATTAGCAGTCAATCCCCATTCTCTCCAGTCTCCTGCCCTCTGCCACCACTAATGGATTTTATTTTTCTACAGAGTCAAAACTTGCCTCTTCTGGATATTTTATATAAATTGCATCACACAGCACGTGTCTATCTTCTTTCATGTACCGTCCTATTTTCTCGGCTCATCTATGATGCGTCATCTATCAGTACTTAATTTGTTTTTATTTTTATTTTTTTTAAAGAGAGAGAGAGAGAGAGAGAGAGAGAGAGAGAGAGAGAGAGAGAGAGAGAGAGAGAGAGAATTTTAATATTTATTTTTTAGTTTTTGGCGGACACAACATTTTTGTTTGTATGTGGTGCTGAGGATCGAACCTGGGCCGCACACATGCCAGGCGAGCGCGCTACCACTTGAGCCACATCCCCAGCCCCTGTTTTTATTGTTGAATAATATTTTCTTACAAGAATGTATCATGTTTTATTTATCCATTCATCAGTTGGTGGACATTCGAGTCGTTTCCGTTGTGTGTGTGGGGCTATCGTAAATAGTATTGCCACGAACATTCACGCATGTTTCTTTATTTTCTTCAGTTCTGGGAACTGAACCCTGAACCCAGGGGTGCTCTACCACTGAGCTACATCCCCAGATTTAAAAAAAAAAATTTGTTTTTTGACATGGAGCCTTACTAAGTTGCTGAGGCTGGCCTCAAACTTGTGATCCTCCTGTAGTAGCTGGGATCACAGGTGTGCGCACTGTGCCTGGCTCACGTCAAAGTGTTTGCATGGACATGTGTTTCCACTTGTTGTGGGTTTAAACTTAGAATTGGAACGATGTTGCGTTTTTTCTTTCTTTCTTTTTGCAGTGCTGTGGATGGAACCCAAGGCCTTATGCATGATAGGCAAGGGCTCTCCCACTGGGCCATATCCACAGCTCCTGT